TCGGGTTCACTTGGTTCACTTCTCTTCGTCATTTATGTTACCGACTTGCCCGGTCAGCTGCGCAGCCCATCACTAATGTTTGCGAATGATATCAAAATCTGTTGTACAATCGAGGGTTCAGAGAATCGGAGTAGTCTACAAAAAGATCTGAATACCCTGGCTCAGTGGACTGAAACAATGGCCCTTCCAGGCAATACCACTAAGTGTGCTTACTTGCACCTCTAGACGTGCTTATTCGGAGATGGTCTACAGCTTCCATGGAATCACACTGCGCAACAAGTCGTGCGAAATAGACCTGGGAGTCATGGTGACGTCATCACTGAGAATACCGATGGTCAGCGCCCATGAGTTGAGCATTTGTGGACCCATACGGAGATCTTTCATTTGGCTTCCCATGGACGCTTTTAGACTGCTGTGCGCTTCTTAAGTCACACCGTGACTTGACTATAGTGGTACTGCGGCGTACCACTGCACAGCCGGTGAACTGGCTAAGTTGAAGTGTGTACGACGTTCTGTCACTAAACTCGTTGCTGGACTACATGGGGCCAGATGTGAAGGTTGTCTACAGGTTAGCGGTCTGTCTCCAGATGCGCATCGGCGCGCCAGGGGAGATCTGATCTGTCTAAGGAAGCTCTAAGGATGCCAACATCGCGGCGTAGAAAATGAAATATATATAAATGCATATGTATTGCTGCTTTTTATATACAGAAATTCTAAAGAAAAATAGATGGTTCCATCCTGTAATGGAGGTTTATTTGTGTTTTTCTTGTAAAACGACAAACACCTGTGTCTGTGTGTTGTTCATTTATAATGGTTTGGTGGACTCTGAGAACCCTTGACGTAACTTAATCTTGGAACAATCATGGGTCTCGGTGAATTTCAAACCCTCGTTTGGATACAGCTGAGCTAGATACCAACCCTGATATTCCGTATTTTTTCTTATGAATATCATCTGTTTAACGATACGAAATACCAAAACGTGGAGATTCACATATCGCTTTGCTTTCTTTTAGAATCTTTTATTTCTGCTGTCGGTATATCTATAGATATATTGAAATATCTGTTCGTTTGGGGCAACATGGTTTGGAAAGCATTTGCCATGAAGACGTTTTATCATTCATCTTTGTTTCCAAGCCTTAGTGGCACGCATTTGAAATATCCGGCCTTTATTAGCATCAGTCGGTGCTATCCTCATTTATCAAAAACAGCCGTTCTTGAATCGAAGTGGATCAAATACATAAGGCAGCACGATAAAGAGCAAAATAAGGTAAGTTTTCTCGCGCAGATTTCGATATCTTTTAGCAATGGGACTCCGATACACTGGCGTCAAAGCGGTCCTACATTTTATCCATGTTTCCATATCCTTCCGGAAATCTCCACCTTGGTCATCTGCGTGTTTACACAGTGGCTGATGTACTGGCTCGATATAAGACAATGCGAGGTTTCGCAGTCATGCAACCGATGGGATGGGACTCTTTTGGCTTGCCTGCTGAAAATGCTGCAATAGACAGAAATATACTGCCTTCTGCTTGGACCTCTAGGTAATTTCTATCTGTATCAAGTTTGCATTTATTAGAAAAAAAACTAGTATATCATCACCTTACTGTATGTTTCATAGTTGATAATATGGTTAGTTTTTGGGTGCTTCGAGAGCTGATTAGAGCGACCCGGCGTGGCAAATTTTTATGGGAGTCGAATACTACACAAACGAAGTCGGTATTGGACTTGGACGCCATTTCCGTCCGAGACAATATCGCAACTACGGCCGACGAAATCTCCCATTAAATATGAAACGGGTAAGAACCAGCGAGCTGGGTGAAAAATCGGTTTTTTACTGTTGAGTCGCCTTTGTTTTTCCAGAGATTCTTTGACATGAATCAGTTATAGTTGCATAATCCAGGTCCATAAATGACTTGCATTATGGACTGTTGTACTATTCTGTTCGTCAATTCGGAGTAGAATTTGCTCTTCGGGTGTGTATCTAGTTTTTGCACGACTTGGTGTGGTTAGCGAGACCACAGCGCTGTTCTACAAGAATCACTGGTCATTTTTACGATCCGGTCGTCTCACCTTAAGAATATTATCGCCTCAATTAAGCGTGAGAAGAGGTGATGGCCACATTCAGTCGTCGATGTTTGCCACATCACAATTTTTTTCTTAATGCGGAAAATCTCTCCAAGTTGGAGGCCCATCATACCTTCAATCACTGTTGTTC